TTTTTTTTTTTTGTTTTTCCTTCTCCTAATAACTAAAAAGCGCGATGTGATTGATTAGGAGTCGAGACGGTGTAAATGATCGAACGGCATGCAATGATCGAGGTCGTCCTCGTCCTCGTCGATCTATATATATTTTTATCCTTGTATCCTTTTTTTTTCCTTTCTTTCAACGATGTGCTAAGTAAATTCGCGAAGTCTGGATTGAAAGGCGCAGATATGTAAAGTGTGATCGATAAAAGAACTATGCGGGTGCTCAAAGACATTACGATACAAAAGTTTCGAGGAACCGAGACTCTGCTACTTCGGATATCATCACGTCAACTTTGAAGGTTTATTTCGCCAAATCCATAAATATGCTTTATATAGATATTCTTTACTTGTTCAGCTTTCATTTAAATATTCATATTTGATGTATATCTCATGAGAAACACGTCAAAACTAAAGACATTACGTTCCAAAAGCTTATACAAATTTTACGTCAACTTTGTCTGCTTTTCTGTTTCTGCAATTTATATAAATATTCATATTTACACATTCATTAATTATATTATAATTTAATTATTAATTATTTCAAATTAATTACTTTCAATTTAATTTAATTTAATTTGTTTAATTAATCAAAATATTTTCAGATATTAATTACATAACTTTATACCTTATAAATTATTACTGAAATCTGTAAATAAATCAAATTGAAAATTTGATTGTTTTCACTGCATTTTAAACATTTATATTTCAATGGAATCAATGATGTAAATTAATTTATGAACGAAAGTAGACGTGTGAACTATAATTATGTGTTTTTTATTACTACTAAAAAATGTATTTGTTGAATGATTTTATATTATATTTGGTATTAATGATGTGAAAGAAATTATGATTGAAAACAGTAGATGTGTAAATATTACTTTAAAAAAAATATAATGGAAAATTTCTTCATTATAATACTATGATAACGTTATGTCAATATGGAATTAATGATGTGAATAAAATTATGAATGAAAATTGTGTGTAAAAAAATTGTGATTGATACAATATGTATGGTTGGAGTGTGATGGAATGCGTTGTGAGTGCGAGTGTTAAGAATGTGGTGTAATAAGTGAGGATTTTTATCAGACTTACATTCGACGTCGACGATGATGCGTTTGCTGACTGATGGTGGGACACCGTTGGTGGCGATGCAGAGATAGGCGCCCATTTCCGTTCGACTGATGCGGGTCAGATTGAGCTGCTCTCCGTCGTATACGTTAACTGTAAGCCATAAATTAAGTTAGAAGATGGCCACTATATTACAGCGCCCTCCACTAGATTAAAGGGCGGCCGGCGCTAAGAAGTTCATAAAGGAGCGCCCAAGTCAACCACCCTCCCCCCAACGTCAACTAATTTCGACGCGTTTATCAATAAAAATCCTACAACTTTCAAACTGAAAAAAAAAATTGTAGCATAGGGGTGGAACGTTATTCATATTTTAGAGCAACCCCAATGCATTTTTTATCCGCGTCCCCGATTCGCGATCAAGTGGCTGTTTGCGTTTTAATGAACTTCCGATCGTAAAAACATACAACTTCGAGTGACCCATTCGACAACTAATGAACCGGATTCGACTCATGCGACTTTCCTGATCCAAATCGTATTAGATTAATAAGTTTAAAAAAAAATCACGCAACAAATTCATTCATAAATTTTAACGTAATTTAGAGAGAGAGAGAGGAAAAGAAATTGGGTTTTATATAATTTGTCCTCAATTTCTTGGTTTGAATCCTGGTCAAGCCAGGCCCTTTGTGAGCCCTCTCGGTGCTTACAGCAATAGCCTTCGTTCATCACAGATGGACAGTCATGAGGTTCAGCATATCAAAACGGATTAAGTAAATTTTATGAATGTGGATTAACAAGTTAAAAAAAATTTCAACAAAACAAATTCATAAAGGTGGTCGCATTACGTTTCTCCCCTTTCTTTTTTACGACCCTCTACATTTTAAAAGACACGTCATTTTCATTTATTCACTCCCTTCATTAAGATTACAAAATAAATTATATATATATGTGTGTGTATTCAAAGAGAGAAAGTAACATTAAGCGCAACAAACAAAACAAGAGGAATGGATCTAATTCCACCACACAAATGCAATTATTAATTAGCTAACGCTAATCTTTATATCCGGGATTAGAGGCTTTGAGATTCAACTAAAATTGCTTTCAATTAAGCGCACGATTACTGCTATTGTTCCTATACGACTGTATTGTCTTTCCACTTTGATTTTATGATTAATTATAGTTAAATGCAAATTATAATGCAATTTTTGCATTGAATCTCTACGAATCTCTACTAACAAAAAATATATAAAACTGCCATTAAATGATTTATAAAAAAAAATATTGAATTTTCAAAATTATAAAATTACATTTCTGTAAAAAAAAAAATATTTTCTGTCATTTTTTGTTAGATTAAATATATTTTTTTGAAAGTTATTATAAAGTTTGCTGCGTGAAATTTGAATAAATGTTTGTGAGAAAACGTTCACCTCGACAGTAAACTCAAATATCCCGAGGCCTTTCGAAGCTTACCAGATTATCTTCCCAGACAACAAACTTAACACCAATACTGTTTGTTCCGTTCGTAATTCTCTGGATTTAACTGGCTTAACTATGTCTTTCTTACATACATATTTTTTTTCTCTCACTCTCTAAATCGCTCTTGATCTTCCATTAATTATGTGCACGATTAGCGAAATCCGAAAGTGATATGATTAATTAATTTTATGAACGGAAAAGTGGTGTTGTTTGTATGTATATGTATGTATGTATGTATTATTGAGGTTATGCTTGTATACGGAACACATTTCCATGTTAAAGCCTAGGAGGGGTCTGGAGGACCGGGGATCTTGAGATCTAATTGAATTTCATACATTCTGGATATTAATTATGCGGCTGTGCAATGTTCACGACAGACGTTCAGGATCTCTCCTCCCTATCTCGCATAGTGCGACTCGTACCTTATTATGTCGACAATTAACCCGTTTTCCCGAAGCAGAACACGACAAAAAATAAAATAAATAATAATACACACACAGATACAAGAATAAGAAGAATAAAAAAATATATAGAGAACTGAAATTATTTTCATCCCCAAGTGAAAGCGCGCAGGGTGGAGATAGCTATCACCATCTCCAGTGTTGAGCGCACTCCCCCTTGTTTTGGGATAATAACCGCCGTTCCTCCTTATTCTTCTATACGTGTAGATATATATATATATTTTTTTTATCTTAAACTTTTATTCCCAGAGAAATTTATAATAGGATGAAATTTCCCTGTAGAATACCGTCTTTTGTCATAGCCTTGATAAATGAAAACGTAGGATACGGCTTTTAAAAAACATAACATTCGGTTTTGGTTTCATCTTTCTGTTCTGCTTCCTGTTTACAGATTTCATTAAATCCGTATGACAAAAGAAATAAATAAGATCTCAGCGAATTGCATAATAAATGTGTGCATTATTTAAGCTCGATGTTAATAATGTATGTTTTTTTTTGGAAGTATTGCAAACTCTGGGCTCATCCGAATGAATGTTCACCGCAGATGGGAGTCGAAAAAGTGGATGGAAGCCATATAACTTTAAATTATTACAAACTTGTTTACTCCTCATGATGAAATTGAAGGAGCAAAGTCATGTAATTTTCAAACTGATCCTCTATTCGTGAGGACGAGGACCTTCTTCATGTCATATTACTTACACTTTACTCAAACTCTTTATTCGAGAACGGTTACAGTTTGTATTTGTCTCTAGAAAAAATGCATGTTAAGAAACATGAACATAACTTTAACTTTTCAGTCCGATCTTTTTTTCTATTCAACTTACTGAAAAGTACAAAAATATTTACAAAATAAATCAATTGTTAAGAAATTTTAATTTGTTTATTAAATAATTTTATTTATCTACAAATAATGTGAATAGTGTTAAAATTACAGGAGTTAAAAAAATGTTATTATAAAATTTTGAAAGGAAACTGAGATAGCCTTTATATATTTATGATGTTATGAATCTGACGCTTCCTGTACATCATTCTTCCTTTATTTTTCATATCCATTTATATATAATCCTAGTTTTGATATAACGTTTACAACTTGTGTATAAGAATATTGAAAATAGCTTATGTAACTTTACTACAAAACGGTTACCTACTTCCTTTCTGATGATGTATTTGGCGTATTGAGGTTTGAAATATTATAGTGAATCGACTTCGCAGCGAACGTGCATATGTATGTTAGCTGATTGAAACTTTAGTTTGTAGTCAATAATAATTATTACTAATATACATTTACGAGTAATGAAACAAGTTAGTGTTTCTATATACGAAAATAGTTTAAGGACTGGACGTAATTAAATTCAGTTACATTTCTAATAATTTAGTTCGCTTTGAATTTGTATTTCAATATTTTTTGAATGAAAACAAAAGAAAAAATGAGAAAATTATTTATTAAATTTAGGGGTAGTATTTTTTTCCGGTGCTTGGTTAAATATATGAATAAGAAATGTAATTAACTTGTTGTTCATTTCCCTTCGTCGTTCTCGCGTTTTTCGTTATTTCTGCGCGAGGGTTGAGGGCGTCTTATTGGATAATTTCGGTGTATGCTCGAGTGTGAATGAAAAGGGGGGACGGTTCACCTTATTTCGCACATTTTATTTGCATAAATGATACGATATTTCGCAATGCGCAAGAATTGTTAAAGTCGAGGGGTTGTTTGGCGCTCGCAATGTGCAAGATTAGCCGCTGCAATATTTAGCAGGTTTAGGAGGGCGCGAACGACGAGGTGGCGGCAGCGGCGATCGCGCACGTATAACTCCTGTTTTCCGTGGTGGTCCGCCACCCCCAACCCTCATGTACACCGATTCCGAGCAGCGATCTGATAAACAGGAGGTAAAAAGCCCCCCGGTGTATCGTATCGCTGTATCAACTCTGTACGGTTGTTTCTCTGCGCCCCCTGCGCTGAATGTCAACGGCTTCGTGCTGCGGGATGCCAGGGGGCGGCAGACAGCAAGCGGCGGACAAATATAAATCTCGAATGGTTTACCGAAGCCGCGATTTAATCGAATCTCTGCTTAATATCGACAACGCGTTGAGGAATTCCGATGTGGGGGCGGCTCGGGATGAATGCGGGGCCACCGAATTCCGGCAGGTCGCCGGAGTTAATTAAAGACTCCTTCACTCGGATGTTTGTCTACTTACTTTACAATCTAATGTATTCTCCGACGTCTACACCCTATATATCGGGGAACGCCGCCGCCCGACCTCGCTATTATATAAGGCCTTCAATCCCATTCAATTCAATCCAGACATCTTAATTAAGAAACTTAAAACAACTATTTACACCCCACACCAACGGCGCGATTTGATCTAATTAAATTCATCGGTGCAAATCTCACTAGGAAGTTGTCTTCATAACACAAGCAACCGCCTCTGCGCAGCTTGATCCACATCCCTATTGTTCTTAAATCAGTCATATATGTTTTCCAAATTTTAATATACAAAACAAACTTTACATATAAATAATTTCATTTTTATTGAAAAAAAATAGCAACTTATATATTATGTATATTTAGGAATTTCAAAATTGCTGAAAATGTAAATAATATGTTAATTTCTAATTTAGCGGTTTTCTTGTTAATTGAATAGTGTTAGAGGAATGTGCATAATGTATGACGGTTTCTTTCTTTAGTTGTTTTTTCTCTTAGCTTTTTTGTTCTTTTTATTTTGGAAACGGGAGCTTTTTCGTTGAATAAGTTCGCACCCGTCTGGGGTGTATCCCATCCATAAATATTTAAGATGGGGAAAAGGTAGGATGCATACATCAAGGGATGAATTTTTCATTGAATCCGACCGAGGAGTAAAGAGAAAAAAAAATAAATAAAAAAATGTAAATAAATCAAAAATAAAGTTGTGCTAATTGCTGTTACCTTTCTTGCGACGTTCTACGGAGATAGCTTGTCCATCCTCGCGACGCCACATGATCTTCGGTGCTGGGAATCCGTCGGCTTTGCAAGTGAGACTGATATTCTGATTCTCGCGTATGGCAACCGTGGATTGTGTACTCTCGGAATCCAGGATATTCGGAGGCACTGAAACACGGCTTTCGTCATTCGATTTGCATGCGAAAGGGCTAATCCCGCTGCGGGACGGTATTTACCCACGACCTGCAGATATCCAACTTGGCTAATCATCGGATTGGTATTGACTTGGCACATGTAATAACCTCTGTCCTCCTGCTGGACGCTGCTGACGTGCAGAAGCCAAGTTTTGGCATTATCATGGGACACGCTGAACCTTGGCACGCGCGAGATCACATGACGATGGATAGTCAAGATCATCTGACGATCGATGTGGATCCAAGCCACCTAAAAATAGAGAAGAATGCTTTTTAATTCCGTCAACACACCATTAAACCCATTCACGGAGGGGAGAGTGTAAAAAATAATAAAAATAAAAATAAGTTCAAGAAGGGAAGCAACGTCAAACGAACCGACCCCTTCCCCCGATTACGCAATAAAAATCGGCGCGCTCCTTTTATTGCATCGGCAGGCATCTGGGTTGGAGGGGTGGAAAAAAAGAGTAGACTCAGAGCTTTTGCCTGCAGACTAAATAATAATAGGAGGAGTCTGGGTTGTTTTATATCTGTGTATAAGCAGATTGCTAGGCTATTTGCTGCGCAATTTGTAGTCTGCATTGTCTGAAGGAAGTACGAGCACACTTGAGTACGCTTTGCCCTTAGGCCGGCGGATGGCTCTTCTTCAAGTGCCCTTCGCATCCACCAGGGAAAAGGCGATCTTCCGCAGAGGAGGGCAAACACACGAAATTACTTACACAGAAAAAGACGTTGCGACGACGAACGGGGACAAAGGGAGAAAAGGAATAACAAACGGAGGAGATTCAAGGGAAGAAGTTCCGGCAAACATTTATGCGACAATTAGCCCACTTTAAATAATGAAAAAAGAACGAATGAAAGTAAAATTCTCATGGTTCACTTTCCATTCTAAATCCCTAATGGACGGTCCATTTGCATTTCAAGATTAACAAAATATTGACGTTTAAACACCAACACACTTCTACCATAATCATTATCTTATTTAACTTTAAATTACTATTTTAATTTGTGTATTTTCAAGCTTCATCCAATCTATTTCCATATTTATATTTTCAAATTTTAGTTTTAATAATATTGAGCTAAATTCAGAAATTTAGTAAATTTTAAGAATTATTACATTTTAATAGTTTCTGAAAAAAAAAATGATAAAATTGAATAAGTGCGTAAAGTGTGATGGAATTTGGGAATGTTGAGACCTATGAAACGCACGCACATTACAATGTAAACGGTCGTAATTAGTCGTCGCTCATTTTGCAAATCCAATTTTAATTAATCGCATATATTATTTACCAAAGCCGTAATGAATATTGACCAGTTCACAAATTCGGTGATATATATTCAATTTGGAAATAAAAATATTATCGCTTGCCCATAGTGAATTATGGAGTTTCCAAAAAAAAATAAAAAACACATTTCGCCTACAAAGAACGAATTTAGTTTGAAATTTATTTATCATTTTCAAATTTAGCAGTCAACAATATTTATATCCGAGTCACTCGAAAACCAATCATGTTTTTTTTATTTTAATATGAATATTATTTAAAATTTAATGGAAACACTCTGCGCATGAGGAAAAACGTAATTGACACTTGACCATCCGTTTTTATTTTTTTTTCAGGTAAATTAAATAACTGAATAGGAGCATGAAACGAACAAAAAAAAAGAAGAATAAAAGCGTAACAAATTTAAAAAAAATCGCGTTATTGCTGCGTCCTCCTCGGTGTGACGTGATTAAATTTAAATTGCTGAATTTGCATGAAATATTACACTTGCCGCCCCCCCTAAATATAATTAAATTTTATTAAATCGGGTATTCTAGTTTAGTGTAGTCTAGTCATGCACATCGCTAATTACGCGAAAATTCCTTACGCCGGAAAATCGGATTCAAATTATAGCCAGACAAAAGAGTATAAGAAGATGAATATTATCAACATGCAATATTGCATCTCGGGTAAATAATTAGTGATAAAGGTGTTTGATGATTCATTTTGGCCGTCGATGCGTGACGAAGGAAATTGCGATGCGCCCTTGCGCGATGCTCTCATCCTCTAAAGGGTGTAAACCTTTACGAGTTGCATTTCGATTTCGGCTAGAACAGCAGACGCAGATGCTAACAATAAAGGCATAATGTGCTCGCTGTAAAACTCCCAAGACTGGAGATATTCTAATGGCGCAAATCATTTAAGAAAATTTCATTAGAACCAGTCATAACATGACTTCTATTAACTTGGAAGCAAACGATCGTTTTATCATGATTACCAGCCTGTATTTGTATTATTCACAAAATACACGAATTTATCCAAGTTTTCCAGAGATCTTTTCGAGAATTACATGAAACATTATAGTTTTATAAGAATATCTAAGACACAACGCTGTAATACGCGTTCAAAGTTAAGAAATTGAATTAAAAACGTTCGAAAAAGCAGTGTTTTTACATTTCATTGATTTTCTAGAAAACTATAATAGCATTTCATTGATTTATTCGTTGGCTATGTAATGGCTCAAAGAGCTTAAGCTTGCAAAAAGCCACATAACTAACTTACTGTAATAACCATTGTAACACTCTTAAATATAATAAAAGAATTTAAAATGCAATGCCGTTTGGCTGTAATTCATGTACAAAGTTTAAAAAATGCTGGAAAAAGCAGTGTTTTTAGGAAACATTCAAATCCAGTAGGAAACAATAACTGGAAGATTAAAATCCAGTAGGAAAAATGCAAATCCAGTAGGAAACAATAACTGGAAGATTAAAATCCAGTAGGAAACATTCAAATCCAGTAGGAAACAATAACTGGAAGATTAAAATCCAGTAGGAAAAATGCAAATCCAGTAGGAAACAATAACTGGAAGATTAAAATCCAGTAGGAAACATTCAAATCCAGTAGGAAACAATAACTGGAAAATTAAAATCCAGTAGAAAACATTCAAATCCAGTAGGAAACAATAACTGGAAGATTCAAATCCAGTAGGAAATAATAACTGGAAGATTCAAATCCACTAGAAAACAATAACTGGAAGATGAAAGTTGAATATAAAACAATAATTGGAAGATTTAGATCAAGTATCAAAGAAAGCAAAAGATGAAAATTATTTAGATGATAAAAATTTCCTACCTATTGTTTTTTCCGAGAAAATCAATGAAATGTAAAAACACTGCTTTTTTTAACGTTTTTTCAACTTTGAACACGAATAAATCAATGAAATG